CCGGTTGGCGCGGTCGAGGTGCGCGTCCAGGCCGCCGCAGAACCGCCGCAGCCGCAGGAGGGCCGGCTCGTCCGCCCTCTGCGGGTGGTCGCCTCGGCGGGGGCGGCCGCTGCGGCGCGGAGGCTCGGCTGTGCTGCGCGCTCACCTTTCGGGCAGCGCTGGGGGAAGCCTACGTAGGTCCATAGACCACCACCGCGCCTCGCTGAGATCCTGACCTCGCGATTTCACTACAGTCGGAACCGATAATGAAGATGCGCGACAAAGATAGAAGTTCCTTGGACACCCGTGTTGAAGCTTTACCGAGCGCGGCGGGACATCGAAAGTAGTCAACGATGGACCCAAAGGCGCGGATGCAAGGATACCCTTGGAAAGGTTACCCATCCTTACCATCGGTTTCGACTGTACACCAACACGGTGCCTCCTTGAGATCCTGGCTTCGCAATCTTGTTCACTAGGGGCGATTGTGCCACGTTTTGGGCCCCCCGGGCCCTCACGGACCAATCCAGCTCGCGAGATGCCGCAAAAAGCTAGGGTCCAAGGCTCCGGCCGAGTTGTTGTACGGTGTGACGTCGGATGTCAGGGTATGCGCCCACCTGGCCGAAGGCCAGGAGGGCGCAGGGCCCAGGATGGCCTGGGACAGGCACGGTGGTGGCGTATAGACGCCTTCTGCCAGGCCGGTGTCTGGACGTGTTCGGCCTCCAGAGGCCGCTGCCCAGCCACAGGACCGTCGAACAAAACAGCGCAAAGCCGGCCCCAGGGGAAGGGGTCGAGATTCCCACGGGGCTACGATCCTCGTGAGTGGTGTACCGAAATGGGTGCGGCGCCGGCATGCAACTTCTGAGAAGGAGGAGGAGGAGGAGGAGGACGAGGATGAGGAGGGAGGAGACGCGGAGACTGTCTCTTCAAAACGAGGAACCATCACCACAGGACGGTTGGGAACAACTCAGGACGAAAAGACGGCCCAGGGGGAAGGGGTCGAGATTCCCGAGGGGTCCCACGTCAAGACAAGAATGCGACGTCGAAGGAAAGGGAGCCGCGCGAGGCTGTGTCAGCCCAGGCCGCCCAATCTGGCACTGGTGCACTGGATTTGTGTCATGAGCACGTGCTGTGTTCGAGTGCCGCTGCCATCTCGCTCGCGAAATGACGAGCCCCAGCCGGGGCGAAACGTCGACGAGCGTTCTGTCATAGGCACGTGCTGGAGAGCGCCATGCAGGGCAGGTTCGCGCACCGCGCCCCGCGGGGCGCGATGCGCCGTGGTCTTCCTGCCCCTCGAGCCGCCGCCCTAGAGGAAGGCAGCTCTTCAGCCCCGGCCGCGACGCGCGAAGCACGACTAATCTTCGCGCCCCCGCGGGCAACCGGGGTCTCCAGTTGGCTGGATGTCGGGGCGGGGGTTGGGAGACGACTGGCCAGGGTCAAATCGAATCGGGCTTGGCCACCTCTGACTTCACTGACGCAAGTGCTGCGTGGCACGCCCTGGTTTGGAAGGGCACCCGAGGCCCAGGTCAACCAGCGCAAGAACTTGCAAGAACTTGCGTTCTTGCTGACTCCCGTCGGGACTGATCCCGCACCCAGCTAACCAAAGAAATGGACAACAAGAGCCGCCGTGATGCGGGACAACTCGATACGACTCTCCGGCTTTCCCCCGACCCACGGCGTTATTAGGACGGGACTGATGATCGATGTCACGATGCGATTGGCTCTGGTACATCCCAGGAATTTCGGAGTATCTACTGGCACTCGTTTCTGGGGCGTGTAATGAACAACCGCCACCGTGCCTTCAGCCACGGAGTGGGCGTGTCCTCAGGTCCCTTGTTGTCGTCCCCAGCCCTCTGGATTCAGGATTTCTGAGGAAACCGGACCCCAGCGGGGCGAATCTTCCGGGGCGGGCCGCGGCTTGTCGCATGACATGTTATGGCCTTGCAGGGCCCCCGGAACGGGCCAAGAGGGCCACAAGAGGCCCCCAAGACGGTCCGAGAGGGCCCCGAGTCCCCGAACGATAGGTCCAGGACGCCCCAGATGGCTTCTAGACGACCCAAGGGGCCTCCGAGACGCCCCAAGGGGAACAGATCCATTGATTCTCCTTTGGTTTTTGAAATATTTTCGCGTTATCGCCTGTTCGTTTTCCCGACGCTCCAAGACGGCCCAGGAGGCGCCCAAGATTGCCCCAAGGTGCCCGAAGAGGCCGCCGGGCCGTGGCATAAGATTTTACATGATTGGCATGAACGTGTATGCGATAAATTAGAAGACGCTCAGAACAACTTGTGGTCTTATGCATTATACCGCCAAGATTGGAGTTTCGCTGGGTATGTCGCAAATCTTCCTGCTGATCGTTGGCTATCACGCGTTCTGAATTGGTCCCCTCTGGGGAGAAAGTCCCAAGGACGACCGCGCAAATCTTGGGAATCCGATGCACAATCCTTCAGTAAGACAGTCGGGATCGGCAACGGGAGAGATGCAGCCAAAGATGCATGCGCCTGGGCGCGCATGGCAGGAGACTTCTTGGATTACGTGAGTGCTTAGCTTTGTGCCCAGGCTCCCCCTCCTCCTCCTCCTCCTCCTCCTCCTCCTCCTCCTCCTCAGGCGCGAAGCGATGGCGACGGTGGTCTCATCGGCGGTGGCGGCGGCGCTCGAGGCGGCCTTCAACAGCCCGCCGCTCGAGCCGCCACCACTACCAAAAAAAGAAAAAAAAACCCACATGGACCCCCACAGACACCAAGACAATAAACAGGTACAAAAAACCCACAAGGAACACGAACACAAGATGTCGAGCAAAAGTCCAACCACAGACAAATCTTTGGCTAAACAAACCAAAAATAGAACAGGCTTGTGGCAAGAGATGCCAGCGCAGCCGCCGCGCCCGCCCCCCACGGAGGCGCCGCGGCCCAAGGCGCGGGCTCGGCCGAGTTCGACACCGCCAGTGGAGCCCCCCTTGCTAGCGCTGGAGGACGGCCAGGTGACCGAGCCCCAGGGCAAGGAGGGCGACCAGGGCGGCGTGCTCCAGCGCAGGAACCGCTGGACGCGGGGGCCCACTCCATCGACGGCGCCATCGGCGGCTACTCCGAGCCCCAGCTCGCCAAGGCCGTCGGCTCGCCAGGTGTTCCTCGACGCGCTTGAGGCGCACAAGGAGGAGGCCGAATGGGAGGAGCTCCGCCAGCTTCGCAAGCACCGCGAGATCCGCGAGCAGCGCAAGGCGGAGAAGGAGGCCCGCAAGAAGGAGAAGAAGGACAGGAAGGACAGGAAGGACCAGATGTTCAGCAGCGCGCCCTGGAGGCGGCGGTCGCGCAGCCCGCGCCGCTGAAGAGCCCCACGGCGCAGGAGGCCGGGATGCCCAAGCTGGTCATGATGTACTCCCTGGACGCCCAGGACATCGAGGATGAATGGTTGAATGGAGTCAACATGTGGTACCTCGAGCTGGACGACTTCGACACGAAGCATGAGGAGCCTGCCGTGATGGATGTGGGCGCGCAGCAGCTGGTCACCATCGACGAGCAGGAGAGCCTCAACACGGACTACCAGATGCCTGGCGTGGCGGATGCGGCCGCAGAGAAGCTGGACACCGCCGGCGCTGAGACGATCGTCGAGATCGCGGGCAGTAGTCACAATGACATCTACGTGGGCATGAGGGGGCTGCAGGACCAGCGACCGAACCCGCTGGGCAGTGCAGCGGCTCCCGACGACGAGAAACTTGTCGTAACGGCGGAGGGCTCGAAGCAGCAGGACTCCGTCAACCTGCAGATGAGCTCCAACATGGACATGGGCGTGAGTGGGCGGAAGGACCAGCGGCCGAAGCCGCTGGATAGATCTGCGACTCAGGATGACGATACGTTCTAGGCGGTGCTGCAGCAGAACGCCGAGGCCTTCTCCAAGATGGAGCTGGTATGGGCGCAGCGTGCAGCAGCGGCGAGGCTCAAGACCGACACCATCGACAAGGTCCTACATGCGCCTGGTGGTGGTGGCGGCCCTGGCCATGGTCTTCGTGATCCACGCCCGAGGGCCTCATACCTCGAAGTGGCGGTCGGCACGGAGGCCTACAAGGACATCAAAGAGCTGGAGGACGTAAAGCTCAGGTTGGAGAGCAACAGCCTCAAGCTGTGTGACGAGAGCGTGAAGGCGCTCGCGAAATACTTCAAGGACGGCGGCTGCTGGAACACCTTCCTCGAGTGGGCCGCGGCGATGCGCGAGGGCGCTGGCTAGGCCTGCAGGTTTTGGGCCTGTCGCCTGAGCGCGACGGGATCGGGGTCGGCGAAGGGGTTGTCTTTCAGGCAGGCCTCTCCCTGACCCCGCAAGGTGTTGCCTACCTCCTGGACGTGGTCATCTGAGGAGGCAGGCCCGCGCCGTCCCGTACGGCAGACTGCCTTTAGGGCGCTGGCTTACCTTACCTTACTCCTCCTCCTCCTATTCCGTTTCATATGATCGATTTTATTGTTTGCGCATGGCCCGCTGTGCATCCCAATGCTTGAGGCCCGCAGGCCGCTCCCACTGGAGCTGGCACGCAAGCTGTAAGTGTAACTGTGCTCCGCCTGCGCCCTCAGTGGCCGCCCTTCGCGGGCATGCAGGCCTGACCTGTCCCGACCTGCCCGAGGAGGCCACCAGCAGGGCCCCAAAACAGCCCAAGAGGGCACCAAGACGGCTTAAGAGGACCTCCAAGACGGCCCAAGAGACTCCCAGGACGGCTCCAAGAGGGGGCCCAGAGGGTAGACCCGAATGGACATTTCGAGCCCTCGGCCAGAGATGCCCCCAGGAGGCCCCAAGAGGCCCCCTTGAGACCCCCTTGCGGTCCGAAGCCCCGATGAGGCTCCCCGAGGCTCCCAAGAGGCCCCCAAGAGGCCCCGAAACTGCCCCCAAGAGGCCCCCAAGAAACATACCTGAGGACTCTGTCCCACAATCCAGGCACGGTGGCGGAATGTGCCGAAGGCCATTAGACCTGGGCGAGCACGGAAACGGAAAGAGCGCTTGAGGAACTTGACCGAAATTACTCACACCACCGTTCGTACTGGGAGCCTTGGCGTTGAGAACTTGTTACGTCACCCCGCGCTCCGCCTCCTCCTCCTCCTCCTCCTCCTCCGCCTCCTCCGCCTCCTCCTCCTCATCCGCCTCCTCCTCCGCCTCCTCCTCCTCCTCCTCCGCCTCCTCCGCCTCCTGCCGCCTCCTCCTCCTCCGCCCTCCTTTCCCTCCTCCTTTCCCTCCTCCTTTCCCTCCTCCTTTCCCCTCCTCCTCCTCATCCTCCTCCTCCTCTTCACTCCTCCTTTTCCTCCTCATTTTCCTCCTCCTCTTCTTCCTCCTCCTCCTACTCCTCGCCCTTTTCCAGTTCCTTCTTCTTCCTCCTCTTCCATCCTTTTCCTCCTCCTCCTTCCTCCTCCTCCTCCTCCCTCCTCCTCCCTCCTCCTCTCCCCTCCCCCTCCTCCTTCTCCTCCTCCTCCTCTCTCCTCCTCCGCCTCCTCCTCCTCCTCCTCCACCTCCTCCTCCTCCTCGTCCTCCTCCTCCTCCTCCTCCTCCTCCCCCTCCTCTTCCCCTCCTCATCCCCCTCCTCCTCCCCCTCCTCCTCTCCTCCTTTCCCCCTCCTCCTCCTCCTCCTCCCTCCTGCCTCCTCTCTCCTCCTCCTCCTCCTCCCCCTCCTCCTTCTACCTCCCTCCTCCTCCTCTCTTGGCCTCGTCTCGTTCCTCCTCCTCCTCCTCCTCCTCTTCTCCTCTCCTCCTCCTTCTACCTCCCATCCTCCCCCCTAGCCTCGCCCTCCTCCTCCTCTCCTCCTCCTCCTCCTCCTCCTCCTCCCCGCTCCTCCTCCTCCTCCCCCTCCTCCTCCTCCTCATCCTCTCCTGCCTCCTCCTCCTCCTCCTTCCTCCTCCTTCTACTCCCTCCTCCTCCTCCTGCTCCTCCTCCTTATACCTCTCTCCTCCTCCCTTTGGCCTTTGGCCTTGGTACCCACCCCTCGTCCCTCCTCCTCCTGCTCCTCCTCCTCCTCCTCGTCTTCTCCCCCTCCTCCTTCTCCTCCCCCTCCCCCTCCTCCTCCCCCTCCTCCTCCTCCTCCTCCTCTACCTCCTCCTCCTCTCCTCCTTCCCTCCTCGTTCTCCTCATCCTCGTTCCTCCTCCTTCCCTCCTCCTCCTCCTCCTCCTCCTCCTCCTCCTCCTCCCCCTCCTCCTCTTCGGGTGCGCTGGGGAGCCTATTGGGGCCCTCTTGGGCTCTCTTAGGGCCGGGGCCCTCTTGGCCGTATTGGGGCTGTCTGGGGGCCAGCTTGGACCGTTTGGGGCCCCTTTGGGGCGCCTCTGGGGCCGTCTTGGGATGATCTTTGGGGCCTCTTAGGCCGTCTTGGGCCCGTCTGGGGGCCCTCTTGGACCGTTGGCCCGTTTGGGGCACCTTCGGGGCCCTCGTGGGCCGTCTTGGGGCCCTTGGGCCGCTTCACATGGAAAAAAAAAAGGGCCATGGGAGCCGCCCGGGAGCCGCTTCACTCGAAAACATACGAGGGAAACGGGCCATTAGACCATTCCGTCCCCGCCTCGCACCCCCCTGGACCCCCCCTAAGAAGGGCTTCGCCCCCTACTCAACGTCACTCGCTCGTACCTCGCTCTTTCCGTCACCTGCTTGGCACGGGGACGGAAAGCGCACTTACTTTCAGAGCGTACGAGATCGCTGGCTCGTCCGCTCTTACACCTCTTATTGACTCCCTTCCCCTCGCTCTTGTCCTATCTCAGCCTCGGAGAGTCGCGGAGCTTTCTTTGAGCGCGTTTTTTGTTTTGGAGGGGGCGGTCGGGTCGCGTTGCGTTTTCCGCGTTTGGGCTGCCAGCTTTCCAGAACCCCGCGTTTTCCTTGCGTGGACCGCTCGTTGTCCACGCGTTGCCGCCCGTCCCTGTGCCCTGGCGTCAAGAACTTATTACGCCGCAACTCTCTGTTGGGAGCTTTGGTCTTATCAGCTCGATTACGTCACCGCTCGCTCTTGGGAGCCGCGGTGCTAAGAGCCTTTGGGAGTATTATGGGCCTCTTGGGGGGCTCTTGGGGAGCCTCTTGGGTGCCTCTTGGGGACCTTCGGGGGCCTCTGGGGGCCTCCTGGGAGCTTCTGGGCTGCGGGGGTGAAGGGACTAGGCTGCTTGGGGCGCTCTTAGGGGCCTCTTGGACAGTCTTGGACGCCTCTTGGCCCGTCTTGGCGCCCTCTTGGGCTATTTTGGGGGCCTCTTGGGAACATCTTGGGCCGTCTTGGGGGGGCAGTCTTGGGGGCCTCTTGGACCGTCTTCAACGCCATGAAAGGCGAAAAGCCGTATATGCTAGAAATGCACGTTTTCCCTAAGAAAATCATTGATTTTGGCCTCTTGGGGCCCTCTTGGGACGCCTCGTGGGCGCCTCCTGGGGCGTCGTGGAGGCCTCTTGGGACGTCTTGGGGCCGCCTTGGGCGGTCTTGGGCTCTCTTGGAGCGCTCTTGGGCCATCTTGGGCGCTTCTTGGGCCGTCTTGGGCGCCGTCTTGGCCGCTTCTTGGGCTGTCTTAGGCGCCTAAGACGGCCCAAGAAGCGCCCAAGAAGCGTTCTCCGATGAGGTCTCGAGCGAATTAGATCCGGGCCTGGCGATGCCACCCCTCTCGAACTCCCCCAAATCCAATTTCTTCCGACTAACGGACCGCACGCTAACGCGCGCTTTCCGTCATCCGCCGCCCCCTTTTGCTTTAGCAAAGGGGTGCCCGGCGTGCCAGACCCTATCGGTTTTGGTTTTGGCTCTTTTTCCAAAAGAGCTCTCCCAATGGGCGCCGGCGCGTCCCGCCGGGGCCGCGGAAGGCCCGGAAAGGAGCTCAACGACCGCAACAAATCCTCCCTGAAACGGCCGTTTCGCTCGGGACATCCTCAACAAATCGCGAAGATGGCCCAAGATGGCCTCCAAGTCCGCCCAAGATGGTCCAAGACGGCCTCCAAGACGGCCCAACAGAGTCCAAGACGGCCCAAGACGGCCCAAGAGGCCCCCCAGAGGCCTCCAAGACGGCCCAAGAGACCTCCAAGATGTCCTCCAGGAGAGCCCGAAGAGGCGACAATCATTGATTTTCCTTGGGTTTTTGAAGGACTTTGGAATTTGCTTCTTCTCGGCATTCCGATGGCTCAAGACGGCCCAAGAGGCCCCCAAGACCGCCAAAGAGGCCCCCAAGAGGGCCCCATGACGGCCCAAGTGGCCTCCAAGATGGCCCCAAGAGGGCCCCAAGACGGCCCAAGAGGCCTCCAACACGCCCAAGATGGCCTCCAAGACGCCCAAGATGGCCTCCAAGACGGCCCCGAAGCACCCCAAGAGGGTCCCCCGTTGGCCCAGAAAGGCCCCCAAGACGGCTCCCGACGGCGTCAGACGTGCCAGGAACTCACCAAGATGGCCGAAGTTGGCTCGAAGGTGGCCCAAGACGGCCCAAGAGGCCCCCAAGAGGGCCTTCAGGAAGGCCAGGAGAGGCCAAAAACATGCATTGTCTTGAGGTTTTTGACGGATTTTGACATTTCCTTCTTTTCGGCCTTCCGACGGCCCGAGACGGCCCAAGAGCCCCCAAAGATCGCCGAAAGATCGCCCAAGAGGCCTCCAAGACGGCCAAGATGACCTTCAAGATGCCCACGTGTTCCCCGAAGGCTTTCCAAACCGATTCGGGGAACACATGGTCCGATGGCTTGGCAGGTCTGGCCTCAACGGTCGGCCACATAGGCGCTTCCAAAAAGGCAGAGGGCGGCGGTGGTTCGCCGCAGGCGTTTTCGATATTCGAAATCTTGGCATGCCTGGTAACCTTGGAACATTTTCTTATCATTACCTCGAGATCCTCTGAGTTCTAATCTCTAACACGGCATTGTGTACGTCGCTAGAGCTTTCGACACTAGTCTCGGGACCGGAATTCTGCTGCGGGCCGTTTCTTGGTATGCCCCAGGGCATGGTAACCAACCCTAGAAGCAACAAGTATGGAAAACGAGCATTTCGTTTAGCTCCGCAAAGCCATACAACAACCTCCGTCGTGACGCTTTCGCAACGAGGTCTCAGGGTCCTTGGCGGCTGTCGGAGGCAACAACAGCAACACTTTCGAAACCTCGATGTCCCTTTCTGGACGCCCGAAAATGGCACGGAACTAATTGGCACAATGCCGAACAACACACGTTGTCCAAAACCGACAGCGGCCGCTGTTGGGCAGGCAGCCTGCTGTCTGATCTCGAGTGAACAACGCCCGCGGCGGCGTGGACAGCGAGTCCTGCTCAAGATTAGCTGGCAATGAAGTCCGTCTTCGTACCCATCTTTGTCCGTGCTCCTTTCGTTCGTGCCAAGCCTAGCTTTGTACCATCCGGAAGCCAAAGGGTATCGACACCGCTGCACCCCACACCTTTTCCCAGGGTGCACTCTGACCAGAATTTCGAGGCGAATCCAGCCGTTGCGAAGAGGGCCTCCGAGGAAGCCTGGACCAGGCGAAAACGAGGGAAGGGCAGCGGTATGGGGTTCTTGTCCTGCTCTGGACACTCCTACACTTTGGTCGGGCGCGTCCCCCTACAGGGGGATTTTGGAGGACAAATAAAACATTGTCAACAAATACACCAACAATTCTGAAAAATACCGAAGAATCGTCCCCCGACTATTGTTGGACTATTTCCGAGTATTCCTCCTGTGGAGGGACAGGCCCGACTTCAGGTGTGGGTACCTAGTCCTCCTCCGAATACTCCTACACCGATCGTCCCGACCCTCGGTCGTCGATCCTCGACCTTCGCTCCTCTTCAGAGGGAAGAGGCCGCCCCGGCTCGCCCAGGTACTCGGCGATCTGCCTGCAGAACTTCAGGTATGGGCCCAGCTCCTCCACCCCCCGGGGGGGGGCTTGGCCGCACGGGGGCCCCAGAAGGGGGGAGGCTGGGCGAGGGGAGGAAGAGGGAGAAGAGGAGGGGCAAGAGGAGGAAAATCATGCTCCTTGTACTTCTCCTCCTCCTCCTCCTCCTCCTCCTCCTCCTCCTCCTCATGCTCCTGCGTCTGTCTTCATACTCCTCGCCCCTCCACCATCAATTTTCATCCTTCACCTCCGCCCACCGCCTCTTCATCCTCCTCCTCCTCCTCCTCCTTCTCGCCCTCCTCCCGCTTCTCCACTTCAAAACGGCAATGATTGATCCTTCGCTCAGGGCCCAAGACCCTCGCGAACCGATTCGGCTCGAAAGATACGTAAAGCCTAGGTAAAACAGCGATCAGAAACTAGGAAGGTCGTGATTTCTTGGCGACGGGAGGGGGGACCAGGAGGGTTTCGAACATCCTCGAGGGTTCAAGGAGACTGGGCCCAGGGTGCTTTCCAGCAGCTGCTCCTCGTCGGGAGCCATTCAGAAACGCTAGGCTCGTCCAGAACTGCTGCCTGAGGCCACCGCTTGTTCCTTCTTCTCTTCGCATGCGTGCGAAGCGGCATCGAATGGCCCGTTCCATTACAGTCCCTCAGTATCCCCCCTCCTCATTCGCCTGCTCCTCCTCCATCTTCCTCCTCTTCCTCCTCCTCCATTCCTTTTCCTTCTGAATAATTTCTCCCTGTCGCACCCCGAAGCCAATTTTTTGGGGGGGGGCCGTGCGTTTCGCCTGACACTTCCTCACCACTTATGACTCTGAAAATGAAGAATTTGCAACAACTTCACAGATGGAGGGCGGGTGGATTTCAAAATGTGGCTCTCGCCTTAGCGCCGCGCACACTCGATTACAACAATTGCAGAAGTTTCGCGGATTGAGGACAACCCGTTTTCAACATGTGGCTCTCGCCTTAGCGCCGCGCACATTCCATTTACAAAAGTGGCACGGGTTTCACGGATTGAGGGCGGTTCCTGTTCAAAATGTTGCTCTCGCCCTAGCGCCGCGTGCATTCATTTTCAACATTTGCAGAAGTTTCACGGATTGAGGGCGGTTCCTTTTCAAAATGAAGCTCGCGCCTGAGCGCCGCGCACATTCGTTTTACAAAGAGTATCGCTGGTCTTCACGATCAACGTACCAGAAATGGCGTGTTGGAAAGATTCCGGATTTTGCGGGTGCAACAGTTACGTTGGTTCGCTGTGTTGGCATCCCAAGAACGGCGTTCCGGCACGATCCAGGATCGTCAAGAAGCAACAGTCAAATTGGTCAGTGGCATTGGAAACCCGAGAACAATATTTTGGAATGCTTCCGGGTCCTCAAGCGGTCTCTTCCAACGAGGCAGATCCCTCAATGGAAATGAGTCGTTGTAGGGGCCTGTGAAGAGGGAGCTTGGGGGGAGGGTGTATTCCAACATCGCTGATGGCTCTTGGGTTTACACTGGTACTCCTCCTCTTCCTGGGGCAGCAGAAGAGCTCGCGCTCCCCCCCCCGCACACTCGTCGTCGTCGTCCTCCTCATTCTCCTCGTACTCGTCCTTGTCTTTTTCTCCTCCTCCTCCCCCTCCTTCTCCTCCTCCCCTTCCTCCTCCTCCTCCTCCTCCTCCTCCTCCTCCTCCTCCTCCTCCTCCTCCTCCTCCTCCTCATCCTCCTCCTCCTCCTCCTCCTCTTCATTCCTCCCTCTCCTCCTCCTTCTGCTGGCCCTCCCCCTTCTCAAATACGTTTGTTTTCCTCCTCCGTTTGTTTCTATGGTCACTTTCCTCGTCAATGTCCGTCCTCCTCCTCTTCCTCCTCCTCCTCCTCGACTTCGTCCTCGTATTCCTCCTGCCCTTTTCCTTTTCCTCGTCTTCCTCTTCCTCGTCTTTCGCTCCACGCGCCCCGTCGCCGCCACTCCTCATGGACAGGCGTTCATCGTCGTCCTCTTCCTCCTCCTCCTCTTCCTCCACCTCCTCTTCCTCCACCTCCTCCTCCTCCCCCTCCTCCTCGTGTTCCGTTTTATTATCCTCTTCCTCCTCCTCCTCCTCCTCCTCCACCTCTCCTCTTCGTCGTCGTCGTCGTCCTCCTCCTCCTCCTCCTCCTCCTCCTCCTCCTCCTCCTCCTCCTCCTCCTCCTCCTCCTCCCCCCCGTCCTCTCATAAATTACTCCTCCCAGCCGCACCCATAGGCGTGTCGATGGACTGGCTGGGCGTGTTGTTTGAAACTTTTTCGTGATTTGCAATCCTGGCGGTGGAATGCTACAACACATGCAAACATGGAACGTGGGTGGTTTTCACAATGTGATTCTCGCTGTAGCGACGCGAACCTTGGAGTAACAGTGTCACAACAACTTCAAGAATGGAGGGCGGGTTGAATAGTGGCTGTCGCGTTGGGCGCCGCGCTCAGTCGTGCTAACGTTTGCGGCCGCTTCAAGCAAGCATGAGGGGGCGGATGGTTTTCGAATAGCGACTCTCGCCTAAGCCCCGCGAGCACTCGTCGCAACAATGTGCGGCAGCTTCAAAGATGGAGGGCGGTTCCTTTTTTATTGTGTGGGTTCGATTTAGCGTCCCGCGCGTTCGTCTCAAACGTTAGCAGGCATGATGTAACATCCTAGTGGCGTGGGTGTCCCAACACTGGTGGTCTGGCACGATGTGGGACCACACGGGTGCAACAGCAACGTTGGCCCGCGGTGTTAACGCCCCAGGACGGTGTCCTGGCACGACTGAAGATTGCCAG